GGTTTCACACTTTCACCATCGATATTGTTATGTTGCCTTACGTGAAATTAATAATTCTGTTTATTTATCGATGGAATTCGTCAATTCTTCGTTACCCGAGCGACTTCTAAGAGTCTTTTGGACGCGTATTAAGAATGTTACGGAAAATATTTTTAATTAAAAAATCCGATCCGAAGTTTAATTTATGGCTCTGCCGATCCTCAGAGGAAACTAATTGGGAGAGAAACACGCTTCTTACGCCAGCGTATATAGTTTAATGCAAAAAAACATTTATGAGAGAGCCAGGTTGTCCTTTGATGCAAGAAACTGGGCGGGGTTTTTCTCGCGAAGAGGAAAAGTGCACCGGCAGAACCGTGCCACCCAGACGTAAAAATCTATGTAATTTTTAAAATGAACCTTTGTTGAAGAGTTCAGACCAACTTATTGTTTTCGTTTAAAGTTCCGTAGCCTTTGCCTGGGCGAGCTTCCTCCTTTGAAGTAGCGCAAAAAAAAGTCGAAGACTCAACGCGCAGAACTTCCGCCCTCTCAAAGGCTCAGCGGCTCAACAGCTCAGCACTTTAATTTTAATTTTTTCTACTTTTCCATCATCAACTTTAAATTTCGTCGTACTTTAATTGGGTTTTATTACGACGACGGAAGGGTAGTATCATTAAATTAGCTAAATTTAAGTCTGACGGTTCGTTATGGAGATGCAACACGCTCTTCTAGTGATAAATGTATTAACGTGATATTTATGTGCATATTATACTATTATACTATCCATACTAATTGGAACGTATACGTAGTACTTGGGAGCTCCTTGGTCCCTGGATAGATAGATGTCTTTATGGATGAGCCAAAAAAGTGGCACCTCTTTGCAAAAGTCCAATGGCAAGTACACGAGCGAAAAATAATTTTTTAAAACTGAAAGAGTTAAGTAGTCAATTTATCACAACGATTAGCAACTATGGTATTTACGTCGGAGACCAGGGATTTACTTTAAATTTTTAAATTTACATGCTTAAATATGTTTAAAATTTCGGTAATTACTTTTATAATCAAAACTTAAAGGATGGATATTTGGGGGAGGTAATTTTTAATTTCGATGCGGGCAGCATCAGGTTTTAGGCAAGAAAGTATATGATGGTCGATTGCAAGGGGAGAATGTCGACATAGAGAGCAAAATGGAAGTGGAGACTTTGAAGTTAAATGTAACAGGTAGTTATGAAGCATAAAATATACAAAGTCCTTTCGATAGGTTCATGAACGCAGTTTCACTCGGAATACACCTAATGTCACAACCAAACTTCTGAAACTCCTTGTCTCCCTAAATTTGAAAATCTAAATTTTTGTATATACACCCATCTTCCTAATTCTTTGTAAAGACGTTAATAGCCTAGGATGCTGAATGTCTATAAATAAAATAACTAACTAACTAACTAACTAACGTACATCCAACGATGCATGATCTCTCAGGCACTTTGATCTGAGTCACGTCTGCCTCGTAATGTCGCTGCCGCAAGTCGCGCCTTCAATTTCGGGGGCCGGCAATTTTGCCGCCTCCCGTGGTCGAATAGTTATCTCATGAACGCCGTGCAGTATCTTTCTCTCCGGGACACATGCTATGAAAGCTGCTGTTGTAGTAAGGGGCTAAGTAATCTAAATTTTCATAATCAGAATTCTCAGCCTTTGTACCCGAATCTCGTGGTTTTAATCTGTATGAACCTAGAATACTTCACTTCAGAATACTTTCAAAAATAGATCCTTGCAAGAAATTAGAACCATGAAAAGACGTAGGTCCTACCTTAATATTCGCAAAACCTTGGGAATATTTTCTTTTGTCTTTGGTATTTTTTTGTGTCAGTGACGCATTCCCTACTCAAAAATTATATGGGTGTCCTTTCGGGAGGGAGTTACTTAAGAAAATACTATGGATACTTTCCTCAACGGAGTTACGGAAACCGGAGGTCTGTTGCATTGTAAATCCATGTGGCCAAGTTTCGTTCAAACGGTTATTGTTGAGTCACAGGGAATCGAACAATGCAGAATAATTGGCAATGTTGGCTTGAGAATAAGTAGTCATGAAGGAATAAGATATACGTGTTCCTGATCCCTCTGACATTGATGAGGTCAATTTATTCTCCTCCAAAGACACGAGAGCGTGTCTCGTAGGATGCCCTCGTGTCTCACAGTGGTTAAGAATCAATTAAAAATTGATCTGAGTAAAGAAAAGATACATCTCCATGTTCTGTTCCAAGATCAACTATATCGGATCTCGCAGAAAAAAAGTTAAGGAACACTCCAGTGTTTTGACCGTCAACATTCCAAATTCTGATTTTTTGGCAAAACTTGATGATACACTTACCTCTTCGAATTGAGGTCCTTTCTCCCTCGAATGGCTACGAAATACCCTTTAGCCGCGAGTGGTGGGGAACAGTGGCGTGGCGTGCTTTATGATACATTGATTGATCTGCCATTTAAACCTATGGGAAAGGATCGATAAACAGGGTGTTCGTAATGAACACCTTAATAATCGATTCTCTACTATAGCTTCAAATGGAGAAATATCGATAATCGATCATTCACGCCTCGCCACCGATGGTGCATAATTTGGCAAGTGGTTTGTTAGGTAAATCCTGGCAAAACGCAAAGTTTTCACAAAAACGTCAGTATTTTAAGTATTTATCATGTTACTACATGTTATATTTTCATTTCTTACATAAATTCGTAAATTGAGACAATTATTAATTTTAAAAGAACCAGTTGCGCAGCAATGCAACTTAAAAATACCATATTTCTCAGTATTAATTATGCTGCCACACGGTATTTCGGTTTAATTTCTTACGTTAATTTGTAAAGTAAACCCATTATTGCTTCTTAATGAGACCAGTTGTGCAATAGAGCAATGCAACTTAATGATGGGCCTAGTCTCTGTATTACGCAGATTCGTCTTCGAACACTTCACAGTTTTGACCGTTGAAATCAGTGGCGTGGCGTGTTTTGCGATATATCGATTTGAATGCCATTTAAACCTGTGAAAAAGGATCCATATACAGGGTGTTCGCAAAGAACTCCTTATTAATCGATTTTTTACCATAGCCTCAAACGGGGAACTATAGATAATCGATCTCGTCTTGCCACTGGTTGAAATGTCAAATCCCAATTTTTTGGTAAAGCTCAAGGATAATTTGACTTTTAAGTCTCTTTTTCCTAGCTGGAACGACCACAAATACCCTTTAACGGTGAGTGATGAGGCATAATTTGGCAAGCTCGTTGTTAGGCTAATCCTTTGGCAAAACGGTGAAGGGGTAAGCCTTTGGGCGGCGCAAAGGCAGCGGGAGCAGCGTGAGCAGCGTCTCGGGCGGGTTGTTTAGATTAATGGAATGGGGCCCGGGCCCGGGCTCCGGTGAATGACAAGCGATTAGCGACCTGAGCAGGCCTTATCAACGTGCGTGAAAGAGCCCCGATTTCGCTTAATTAGTCACCGCTCAAAGCGGCAAATTATCTCCCCCCCCCTCCCCCGAGTAGGGGCTCAGCTCCGTACACCTGAACGCAACGTCAACGTATCCTTACGACTCGTCTTCCCGACGCATCCTTGCAATTTGCCTCAGGTATCCGTTTCAGTGACGTATTGACGTCAGCAGCCGTTTTACTGACGTATCGACGCCAGTGCGGAGTTTCGAGCGGTGCCGTGGCGTGCTTTGCGATGTATCGATTGTTCTGTCATTTAAAGGTATGGAATAGGATCGATAAACAGCTTGTTTGCAAGGACCACTTTCTTAATCGAGTCTTTACCGTAGCTTTAACGCGTTGTGGATTTTTCTGTTACAGATATCTTGGATTAGGAGGAAAGACTATCACTTGCTGACAGTCGGACTCACAACGTATACGGGTGACGAAAGGTTTCAAACCATTCACGTCCAACATTCAGAGGTGAGAATTCTGAATGATTTCATTGCGCCAAACTTTGCATGCAGTTTCCGTTCATTTCACGAAACTCTGATGTACTAAAATGGAAACTTTGTACATTGTGTATTTTTAATATTACTATTTGTATGATGTAGGGTGGACAGTTTAAAGAAATTAGTCGTTGAGTTTTCCGTTGAAAAAAAAAGCACACATAAGAGAAAATTGGGTAACGTGACATGACCACTGGTAAAAAAAACACACACATTGGATCTAGAGTCCAGACTCTTGAAAACATTGACAAGAAAAATTACTCTTGATTCAATCAGATTTAAGCTTAAATCAAAAGGAAATCCGCTCAAATTAAGAGGCTTGGTTCTTGATTTAAGCTTAAATCTGATGGAATCAAGAGTAATTTTTCTTGTCGATGTTTTTAAGAGTCTGGACTCTAGATCCAATGTATTTTTTTCCCCAGTGAGGGGCTTGGAGGACAAGGCGTACAGGTGCAGTTTTTGCAATTTCAAGAAATACGTGTTTGAAGTTCCGAAATTACATGATTCTATATGGCCGCAAAAATGTCAAACTGACTTTTTGATGCTTAAAAATTGGAATTTGGGAGCGAGTTTTTTTTTTTACAGAATATGCATCATTAAGCCTAGTTTTACTTGAACTCATTAATATCTCAATTTTTTCAAAAACTGCACTCATGCGCCTTGTTCTCCAAGCCTCTTAAATGTAGTCAGACTGATTCCAATTGAATTCGCCCTATTTTCAGTTTATCTACAGGTTCATTGATTAATACAAACCCAGTCTCGTCGCTCAAAGTTTGATGCGATGAAGTCACCAGCAGCGTCTTGGAGTCACGGCACGCCCTTGGCTCTGGCGGCGGACGTCCGAGATAGGATTCCGCGAGGGACGACGTCGATAGTGCGTCAGTCGGCGAAGCGCCCGGGTCACGTCTAATGTTCGTGTTTGCGAGGAAGAATAAGAAAAAGGGGAAGAAGAAGAAAATAAATAAAGGAGCGAGACAATGAGGGATCGGAGAGCTAAAACTGCAGTAATTAAGAGAAGAAAGAAAACACGGTCGGAGGAAGGAGAAATTTCGGGGGACGAAGGGGGGCGAAGGGGGGAGGGGGGCAAAATTGAGTTTTTCAAAAGGACGGAGGAGCGGCCCCGGAGCGAGCATAATAGAATGATAACACAATTGAGTGAAGGGAAAATGAAATGAGAGAGAATAACCTCCATAACCTCCGCACATTCGCTCGGAATTTCGCCAGCCGAGTTTCACACTTGGAATCGGCCTCCATCTCCGTCCAGGTTGCCGGATTCTCCCGCGGATGAGTGTCAAGCAGGACAAGACTGCCGTGCTAAGGAAGAACGTCATATGAACATTCAAGCGTTGCCAAATTGCCCTTGATAAAACATGTATTTTTGACGACATTCATGCACATTATCCTTTGAACTTTTCATATATTTTAGATTAAATTGCGTACAAAATTGTCTGAATTTTTTGGAAAATATTATTCATACTTTTCCCAGTAAATTCGGTTGTTATCGAAGGAAACTTGGCAACCTCTGAAGGCTCATACGGCGTTCTGCCTTAGCACGGTAGAATACTAGGGGGCACGCTACCTAGCCGCTACGCGGTCCCCTGTGTGTAAATCGAAATAGATTGGGCTCATCCACGGACTATGTCTTGGATTACATTTTGCAATGAAGAACCACTATTTCTGGCTCATTTTAGAAACAGCATACATATAAGTCATTGGTTCCCTATGCAGGAAGTTGCTTTTATAGAAGAGCCAGAGATATAGTGGTTTCTACTTTCGAAATGTAATCCTCTCATCAACAATCACCGAAATTAGGAAAATCGGCCCGGTAGATCTTTAGTGAGAATTAGACCGCGCCAAGCAGAAAGGAACCAAGTCTTACCAGCTATTGCCAGATTTAATCGGACAATTTAATTTTTTACATGCAAATGGCTGTGCGAATTTTCGAGGAAATTTCAGTGAATTTTTCCACATTTCGAAGTGAGTCCCTTAAAATTTTCAAAGGAGTATGCACAAACGTTCCCCTGTAAAAAATTAAATTGCCCAGTTTTTGGCAAAAGCTGATGTGGCTTGGTTCTTTTCTGTTGAACGCGGTCCGATTGTGACAAAAACTGAGCATTTACATCGTTTAAATGGGATAATTCACGACTTTATCACGTATAGGGAAACGTGGATCAAATTACCAAAATCTGAGTGAAGCAAGCTCATCTCAGGAATATCACCTGGAGACAGCTCCAAAACGATGGAACTCGACCCTATAGACCCGTGGAACAAAATGTAAAAGAAATGATCATTTAGGGGGTTAGAGAGCTCATAGTAATTAATACTTTACGGAACCGGCACCGACAATCTGAGCGATGAAATCGGATAAAGAAACTTTCAAGTTCGAGAGTCAATCCTATTTCTCGCTCAATGATGGTTCATCAGCAACCTGTTGAGAAAATATCAAACGAAATTGCCTATTGATGGCTCATAAATGTGATGAGCCATCATGTTAGTATTACTGAAAAACAATTGCTCATTGCTCATCTGCCGTCGTTAAGTGAATCTCAGATTTGTCCCGAAAGCACCCTCAGCCCTCACCTTGAGGGGTAGATGGCAGTGCAAAGTCTCTTAAAATATATTTTCTCTGTTGTCAAGCGATCATTGAAAATACAAGGGACCCTGGCTCCCCTTGACCGCTACGCTACCCCAACCCCCTATCGGCGCTGGGTCTCCTCCTCCCCCCCCCCNCCCCCGCCCATGAAGGGAGCCTCCCTGGAGAAAAATACCTCGAGGGTAGTTCAAGTATTGCATGAGGCCTTGATTTTAGAATCAAACAATGGACATTTTTCACACAACATTGTTTTTGTCGGAGTTTTTCAGCCAACGTTCATTAAAATTTCAGCATGAAGCTGAAAATCTCAATACAGAGGGAAAAAGTTCTTATGAGCACAAGTTTTTCTGAAAGAGGTAAGCTATTCGGTGCAACACTAGTCACGACCATACAGACCGTGTATTGAGATTTTCAGCTTTATGCTGAAATTTTAACGCGCGTTGGCTAAAAAACGTCAACAAAAACAGTCTTACGACCCGTGCGTTCACCACAATCGGTTTGTGTACAACATTTTTTAAGTATACTCTGCAACCGTCGTCAAGAGTGAGAACATAAAACGTCGAGTGAAACTAAGCAACATAGCATTATTTTTACGTCGGAGAGAGTCTGACCGCTCTATCTGTTGTAAGCGGAATGCAGTTGAATTTTTTCAATTATGGAACCAGCCGCAATCGTTGTAAATATACCCCTAATATTGCTGAAAATCTCATACATATTGTCTTGAGCACAACTCTGCCGAAAGTTGAACTAACTTCATTTACGGAAAGTTTGGATTGCCGTAAGGTTTGAGCGGAGCAAAACATTAATGAAAGAGCACCAAGCACTTGGAAACAAATGCATAGTCGCACGTAAATGAAAGCTCGCTACCAACTTGGATATGGGACCAGATCAACAAGCTTCTATTTATTTCATGCCGCGGAACACAAAGCTGATGTGTGGGAAAAAAAGGAACACTCATATTGCTTGCAACGATGTGAAATGACCGTTGTCATTTTCTTTCTTTGAAAAAACGGATGAACTTTTTGTCTGCCTTTCTCTTCGATAAAACAGTGAAAGCCGCACTTGTAGAATATGAGGGTTGTTGGGAAAAAGAGAATGCGCAAAAATTAACGTCATCCCTGCTGCGCTGTAAGCTGTAAGTCCTCGTCATCCTCTTGAAAGAATTGCGCTTACTTACAGCTGTCTTGTGCTTTGTACCCTTTTCTGCCACTATATTTACCCTTTAAATCCATTGAAATTTAACCAAGCAAGAATGCAAAAGATTGCACATATGATAATCTTATTTACCCGATTAATCTCTCTCTTTATGTTAAAAGTTAAACTTCGTGATTTTCTAACATTTTAAATTATTAAATAATAGGCTTATAGGTGGTTTTCGAAAATCTAAGAAAAACGGAGAGTTTATTTTATTTAATTTCCTACTCAAACTGTGCAAGGTCAATTTTCTCAAAACTTCATTTCTGAACTTAGCCTAATTTATTGGGGTACCGCCACAATTAAATGTAAATGTCCAAATTGGGACTTAACCACTACCTCTTTTTTCCACAAATTACGGAAATATTTAGACTTCCTAAAGGACTTATTTATGTCAACAGTAACTGTGTGATGATTTAAACCAAAAGGAACTATCTATACAGATTTCTGTTTTGTGAGCAGAGCTGTTTTGTGAACGACTATGAATGGCGACCCTCTGCTTACTGCCGTGCTGAGGAAAAACGCCGTATGAACCTTCAGGCGCTTCCAAATTCCCTTCGGTAAATCACGAATTTCCGGAAAAGTTTGTTAATATTTTTCTTCCAATTTTTCAGACAATTTTGTTCTCAATTTTATCTGAATTATCTCAAAATAACAATGAAAAATATGCACCAGTTTCCTCAAAAATACATGTTTTATCCGATGAAATTTGGCAACTCTCGAATGTTCATACGGCGTTCTTCCTTACCACAGCAGTATTGTTCTTTTTGATTTTACTCATTTTTCCAAATTAACATCCGTTAAATGGATTTTTCCGGTGAAGGTGGCAACAACGATCAGAGCACTCTTGCGTCTCCTCGCGGAGCTCTCTGACGTAAGGACGTACCACAGGTTCCACGTGAGCCCTGTTACATACATAAATCCATGCTTTCTGGAGCTCATGAGGAAATCGAGCTACGCTCTAACGTCAGAGGGGTGACGTTTTGAGCCCGCACCTTGACCCATATCCGGCGAAAATTAATCTGGCTCCCGACTCGCGGGAAAATGAATGCAGTCGGGTCTCCTCCTCTCTGAGTTGGATGTATTTATGCAAAAGGGAACTATGTCACCCGCAATCCCTATGCACATAATTCCTTTTAGCATGAATATGTTCAGTTTTCAAAAATACGCCGGAAAATTTAATCCAC